TTAAAACTACAAGAAATGTTCTGAAATCAAAACTATACTAGGTAATTGCTTTGAATTTACTATAGTTGGTCTGTACAAACTTTGTTATAAGTATCATAATCTTAAACCATGCAGGGTGTTTTGGTTTGGTTGCCAGACTTTCTAAAATACAAAATAGTTTTTCTTCGTTTTTTTTTAAATGGAATATCTTGTTATTATTGCCTTGTTAGATGGAAAAATTAATATTTTTTGTATTTGAAGAATGTAGAAATTTTAGAATCTTCGATATAACAGTTTTGTTTCAAATGAACCATTTTGTCTACTACCTTTTAGTTTATTTCTCATCTTTTAAATCCTTTCCTCTCAGTGTATATAAAAGAAAAAATAACTGTGCTTTAGAACATTCGAAAACTATTTTAAGGACTGGAATAAAGACATATCTTATTGTAAAATCGCGACCTTCCTATCCTGGCGATTTTCTCTCCAACTTTGTAGATGTTTTTATTTTATTTGGATCTTTTGTGGAGCGCGACTAGAAATACCTGAACCGTTACCATAAAAGAAAATTGTCTCTTTTGCTATTTATTTAATCCCATCTCCGAAGAAAAGAAAGCATTTTAGGTGTGTGGAATAATTTACAGATGTTGAGCCACTCTATACTTACTTCAGATACTGGTATCGTAAAATTTAATATTTCAGCTTTCATCGCAGTGGTGGTTCGTGTTTGTAAAAAATCGGTCGGTTTACTATAAAAACTTATTATGAATAAGGATAAATATTGTTATTAAATAGTAGTAGGTACATCAGGCAATATGTTATTGCAAAAGCCATTAGGAAGAATTTTAATTTTCAAAAACCACAACTAAAAAAGCATTTTTATACAGGGTGTTTCAAAAAACATGTGCCATCTCTCGTTGGCAGATTCCTCACGTAAAATTACGAATTATTTTTCATATCAACATGGGTCCAATTCTGCTTTATTTTATTTTTGTTTGGATTTATTATAATTTTCTTCCAAGTGCCTTTAGTGATTTGAATGAAATTTGAAGGGTAAAAGTTACTATGAGTAGAAAAAAAGTGTCGATCGATTCACCACAGACGTGCATTTTTTTAAGAAAAACGTATTTTTCTAAGAAAAATATGTGCGCTACTGACTTTTTCTCTCTTAAGGTGGCTACACACACTACTGCAAGCTTGACAAGCATGCATGAACAATCTTTTTGTACAGGCCCATGCATAATTTACCTTCGCCGCCACACGGTACATGCATGCTTGAACAAGTTTCAGTTTAGGCCGCAAAAAAGAAGAAGGAATCCTGAAAGCATTTATCTTTTTAATAACGGTATCCTTATCGGCTTGGCTGTCAATTAATCTATACTTATTAAGTAAAATTTTGTATGCTGCATCCTTCTTCACCGTATCATGATATTCTGGTGATTTAATTCGCCAAAGACACGGCTGATTTTCATATGCGCGAATAAAATCTTCCAATAATCCTCGATTGCTCCTTTTCAGATCGCTAGACATGATGGCGACGCGACGTACAAGTCATTTACGATCACGGACTGAACTAATTGTTTGTACAAGCTGAATACATGTGGTACACATGTACCGTTTCGCTTGCGCAAGCATGGCTTGTCCAAGCTTGCATGATTCAAATTCAATCAATCATCAAGCGGCTTGCACAATTAAAATGCTTTCGCAAATTTTCCCTACAAACGCTACAGTTTGCTTGTACAAAAAGATTGTTAATGCATGCTTGTCGAGTTTGCAGTAGTGTGTGTAGCCACCTTTAGTAGTAAATTTGTGTAGACTATTTAATGCCAATTAAAAGTTGTATCTTGATATTTTGTCGATTTCGATGTCCTCGATGAGATAAACGCAATTTTATTAATAACAATTAATAAAATTAATAAACTATTTATTTAATGTAATTTATTACTAAATTTTATTAAAATTTATAGCATTGATGTACAGTGCTACTTACAGCAAATTCCCCCCCAAAATAATGGTATTCAAGATAGTTACAAAAGGCCAAATTTTTTTAACATCTTGTAATTTTAAAATTATGTATTGCAGCCGTTTATAGAAACTTTTTTCATATTTTTTGTTGAAGCATCAATGAGTACTTATTTAAGGTTTTTGGAAGTTAATGACAATAAACTTTTTTAAAGGTCCTATACGAATTGGATTAAGGCAAATTAATTAAATTGTGTTTATCTCATCAAGGAGATCGAAATCGACAAAGATTAACCCCCTGTAGCTTCGAAACAAAGCAGAATCGGACCTATGATAATATAAAAAATAAATCTTATTTTTATGAGAGAAACCTACCCACGAGAGATGGCACATGTTTTTTGAGACACCCTGTAGATAAGGTATTAAGGTATGTACCTAAATAAAATAATTTTTAATTTTCACTTTTGTGCTAAATGTAAGAAATGTAGTTCTCGTTGAACTACCTATCTAATATGCTAATGATTCTAATATAACAAAAAAACTTCACGAGACGCCAATGATATTATGTTTGTATGAATGGTATTTCAAGTTTTAAATTACATACCAAGTAAGGAAAAGATGCTTATATTTTTAAGCTATCTACAGTATAAACTGTATAAGTTTTGACATACAAATGTATATTTTCGACAATCCAGTATACCGTTGTTTTAGTTAAAGTAGCTATACGTATGATAACGATCGAACCCTTTTATCAAACAGTTTTAAGATTTCCTGCTCCATTTCTCTCTCTCTCTCTCTCTCTCTTTCTCAAAGCATCTTTTTTTTATTGAATGTGTGCCTGTATGTACAGGGTTGTTCACCACATATGACACGGAGTATTGTAGCTAAACGATGAGATTTTTACAAATTGTAAGTTTGGGGTTCGTTGAAGGACTATTAGAGCTACAATTTAAAAATATTTTTACAAGATACAGAGTGTCCCAAATAAATAAAAAATATCAAAGTTGTATTTTTTTAAATGGAACATCCTGTATATTATTACATTTTTAGTTTCTACGATTAAAATAAAGGTAAATTTGATTAAGGTTTATTATACTTAAACCTTACCGTTTTTGAAATATTTTCAATTTTGTGAAATTGCAGTAAAAATTTTAAGGCTTCATTTCTCCAAGGGTATCAAAGTTTTTAATACTAAATATTTACTGAAGTTTATTTACTGATCAGTTATTTTGTTGCAATAATAAAAATAATACTACCTTATACAGAGTGTCTAAAAATTTATTTTAAATAATTATTAGCTTCAAACGGCAATAACTTCTTTAATTTAAATGGAATGCCCTGTATATTTTAGGAGAATCAGATGCACAATTAAATTGTCTATCAAATTGTATTATACCATTTTTTACTTATCCCTTCAAGTTTTCGTAGAAAATGCATTCTTTGTTAAATAAAACAAAAAAGGTTGATTAACTCTAATGCTAAGGTTAAGTAACTTTAATGCTGAAATAAAACGTCACTATCTTTTTAAAAACATAAATTTGTATCTTTCTAGTATATTTTTTTATTTTTTAATGAAATAAACGAATTATATCGACAATATTAGTATCTGTACTCTTTAAAAATTTGGTACATCTATAAAAATAATCTAAAATGTCAATAGTCCATGGGTATATTGATAAATAAGTTCTAAATTACAAGAAAATGCATTTTCTACGGAAACTTAAAGAGATAGGTAAAAAATGGTATAATATAATTTGATAGACAATGAAATTGTGCATCTGATTCTCGTAAAATATACAGGGTGTTCCACTTAAATTAAACAAGTTATTGCCGTTTGAAGCTAATAATTATTTAAAATAAATTTTTAGACACTCTGTATAAGGTAGTATTATTTTTATTATTGCAACAAAATAACTGATCAGTAAATAAACTTCAGTAAATATTTAGTATTAAAAACTTTGATACCCTTGGAGAAATGAAGCCTTAAAATTTTTACTGCAATTTCACAAAATTGAAAATATTTCATAAACGGTAAGGTTTAAGTATAATAAACCTTAATCAAATTTACCTTTATTTTAATCGTAGAAACTAAAAATGTAATAATATACAGGGTGTTCCATTTAAAAAAAATACAACTTTGATATTTTTTACTTATTTGGGACACTCTGTATCTTGTAAAATTATTTTTAAATTGTACCTCTAATAGTCCTTCATCGAACTCAAAACTTACAATTTGTAAAAATCTCATCGTTTAGCTACAATACTCCGTGTCGTATGTGGTGAACAACCCTGTATAAACCTGTGTCGACTGTATTAAAATGAAGTTGGATAAAATAAATGCATTTATTTCTGGCATAAATACTATTTCTATCGCAAATACTCGATTTCCTTTTGTAAAGTCAACCATCATTTATTTATTAAGCAGAAAAAAATAAAAATGAATTATTATTTTCATTTTTTTTTTAATTTTCTCTAAAACGGTATACAAATTTGGAAAAGAATAAACGGGATTAAGCATTTTAGAAGAAGCAAACATTTTTAAGTAGCGTTTTTCTCAAAATGTTAATAATAAAAAAAATTTTCCTATTGTAAAGACAATCCGGGGACATACTGTAGATGATTTTCGCTACTTACCTTTCTTCTAATAAAAAGCTTCACCATATAAAAGTGAAACGGAAACCTATCAAATGGCAATTAAATGAAATCAAAACACAATTTTTATGACAATATGTATCAACATCGAACTTCAAAATTATTAATTATTATAAATTATATTGTATAAATTATTAACGAACAACATACTTCGAAATTATTAAAGACTGCACATCGATGTTAAAATTGATGTATCGGACCGTTTAAAATTGTCATGCTGAAAATGCATCAAATATCACTGGCAATATATCGATGTTTTTAAATCATCTGTAAAAATGTCCAACACGAGTATAATGCAGTATACAATCGGCAATCGGTTTTGATGAACTGCGGTTCGAGGATTGTCGGTATACATTTTTTTGTAAATTAATTTAAAAATTTTTAAAATAAACTGTTAATGGTTATTTTACCTTTGCATGGACAAAATCCTTTGCACCCCACTTTAATGACAGTATGATGAATACAGTTGTGGAAGTCTAATCTACATAGCGAGCTGTAGGTACGATTATCTGATCCACAGAGGAATATTGGTTTTACTACTGGACATGGACGGCATCTAAAGAGAAATAAAAGAATTATAAAATTTAAAGTCGTTATTAATTAATTAATTAATTATTTATTAATTAATAAATAATTTATTAATCTATTTGTGACATTGACTACTAGCTGTCAATAAAAATAAGTGAAAAATTCGTTATGAAATATTATATGTTATCTGAAATAAATTCGGATATTTATTATGCCTTTTTTAATTCATTTTTATATATTTTTTTATGTTTACATATATGTATCTTGTTTAGTATGTTACTGTATAAAATGTTATAATCAAACTAAATATACTAGAAAGATACAAATTTATGTTTTTAAAAAGATAGCGACGTTTTATTTCAGCATTAGAGTTACTTAACCTTAGCATTAGAGTTAATCAACCTTTTTTGTTTTATTTAACAAAGAATACTTACACACTTGGTTCACTGATATCGTCACTAGTTTCGTCATCAGAATCATCTTCGGTGTCATAGAAGACATCATCATCCTCATCTTCGTCTTTCGATTTAGGATCTTCAGTTTTTGAAGGTGATTTAGGAACTACAATGTCTCTGAAACAGAAAAAAGTAATACATAAATATATAATATAATCAGGAAACTAGAGTAGGTCTAATAGTTTTGTCGAGCTACCAAAATCCGTGTGTTTTTCATAAGAGCCCTATTTTTTATGATTGTAAATAATTTTTAAGGTGTTAACATTAAGTTTAAGTGTTAATTTATTAATGCAGTTGTGTCTATAAAAAATACCTATTTTATTTGGTAGATTTTTTTACAGTGCCAGTGGCAAAATACCCCGAGGATGTTTTTGGAGAGATTTAATACATTAATTTTATTTTGACATATCCGTATATTGACTTTTTTAAACCATGTTTTTGTCAGTATTTATTCAAGATGTTTTTGTCAATATTCCATATCTTTTATTTTTATCTCTAAAAAATAAAGGTATAACAAAAATTATGGAAAATGAAAGTAGTTTTTTAGACCAGGTGTTCCATTTAAAATATCAAAGATATTACTGAACTGCTTTTCAAATGAAGGAGGAGCACTGTAACTGAGAGTAACTGTAACTGAAAACATCGTCTGCTTGAAAAAAACGGTGTCTAGTTGGCTTGAAAGTTACGATCGATGACATTTCCTATATAATTTTATATACAAATTGATAGCAAATTTCCATTTCAAGCCATCATTGACGCTGTTTATAAATATAATTGGCTATTTATATTTATAAACCATTTATAAGAACCATTTTTCAATTATGTTAGTCAAGAATGCTTTAGAGTCTATATCTTACATCTTATAACTTATAAGAATATATTAATAATAAATGCAAACAAGACCAAAATATTCTACAAAACGGATTTTACATTTTTCCGCCTAATGGAATAAGACAAAAGGGGAAAAAGCCTCTTACCCGTTCTTCTTCAGTTCCTTTCTGGATACGCAGACCGCCGTGAACGTGTCTTCGAGTAGGCAAATTTCTTTCTTTTTACAGTTCAACGGTCTGCACAAATCACCTGAAACAGAACAACGGTATATTAGCCATGTTCCATCGATCGGTATGTTCTATGTATGTAGTCTGTATAGTTCTATGTATAAGATAATATTCTGTAGGAATATTATCCTCTCATGTAGAAATATTATCCCCATATTTTGTGGGAAAAAAAGTTCACCTTTAAAACTCAAAATTAATTGCCTTTATGTTCTATTTCGGTCTCTTTATTATGCGATTTCGCCTAGACAAATAATATAAATAGACACTTCTTATGCCGGGGACCCCATAAGACCACACGCCACGCTATCCCACGTGAGCCCACGTGTTGCGACGTGGGAACATCGTGGCCCATCATACGTGTGATAGCGTGGGATGGCGTGGGGTGGCGTGTGTGCCTAGTGTGTATGCAAAACATGCAATTAAATTGAAAAACAGACTCACAGATCTTCATGACGTGGGGTAGCGTGGCGTGGCGTGTTACCTAATGGGGTCCCGGCTTTACTATACAAAACAAAAGTACCTAAGATATACCTAACTTTATCACAATTTACTCAGTTACGTTACATATTTTTTTTAATTAATTATCATGTTACATACAATGTCCGCAAAAAAGTTTAACAAATTAAAAACATTTACATCCTTTCCAAATCGTGATCTTCAGCCATGTAATATGACTTCTACTTGTAGAGGGCGCCACCTACATGTGCTTCAACTGTTTTGAAGAGTAATAACTTTTCGTCCGTACTCGTATACAACTACTGAGTAAAAAAATATACATTTTCGTGTTTTTTACGTAAAAAATGTCTCTTGGTAAAAATCGCTACGTGCAACCGTTCTCAAGATATTTAGAATGGAAATAGTCAATACATGTCATTATTGACAAAAAATAAACATGTTGAGTAGATAGTTAGTTCACTGAAATGATAAATCTGGGAACTTTTTATTTTTTTAAATTAATCATAAATTTTTCTTCAAAAAAATGATGATAAAACTGTTTCTGTTGAACTTTTGGCACAAAAATATTTCAAATTTATGATTTCAGTCAAATAACTATTTAGTTAACATGTTTAATTTATGTCAATGATGACAGAAATTGATAATTTTGATTCCAAATATCTCGAGAATCATGACTCATTTTACTAATGACGACATTTTAATAACTAATAACATTTATTGACAACATAAACAAAACCTACAAATTAGTGAGTGTGCTCTGGCTATGTTTATCACAATTTAGTAAAGTCTGATACACATTTGCTTCAACATAATCTAAATGCTCACATCATTTACGTCGCTTAATTTCGATGATCATTCGGAAATCAGTTTTCTTTTTCATATAACCTGTGCCGAGGTATATTGCTAAAATTATCTCTTTTGGTAATCTGTTTTTGTTACTAGAGTTGTTATTAAAAACTTATTCAATAATAATTTTATAAATATAAACTATATTTGAAAAATATTATAAACTCCAACACGTCCAAAACACACACCGGTTTAACCAAATATATTAAAGCTTTTAACATTTTACCCAGGCAAAAGTTAATATCGTTTAATTCGAAAATATGCATATCAGAACTGATTATATTATTTTCGTATAAAACGCCCCTATTCATATATCATTTTTATTACGCTAGTTGTAAAATTTGTTCGTATACGGTCGTATATTTATTCGTATATAAAGGATTATGGAAATCGGGCGTTGATATTATTCGATAGATATGAAATTATATGAAAATATTTATTCGGAACGTACAATGCGGACGATGAAAATGCTATTCAAATTTATCTGATTCGAGTATTTTTAATAACGAGTTTGGTATTATTTTGTAGATATTATGAGGTAGAGTATTCCATTTTTTAAACTTGGGACAATAGAACATGCTTGGAAAAGTTTTAATATAATGGGAGAGATTTTATTATAATTTTCTTGTAAAGTACAGTGTGGTCGGAATTGGTCTGTTTTAACAGAGAAAACCTATTTCCTGACTAGATAGAACAAAACCGACATAGATGTCATAGGCTCGATTTCTGAGACACGTTTAATGGCATAAACCGCCTGTTGATATTATCACTGCCAACTGAGATATGGGGTATTTTTGAATTTTTTACCATTTTGAAAATTGCCCATAACTTTTTTATTTCGCGCAATAATAAAATGCTGTCACTTCAGGCACTTTTTTAAGCACAATCCAGTGGCGTAGTGAGTTTTTTCTATGCTTGCTCTTTTTGTGAGAAATAATAAAAATATAATTTTTTAAATGAAAATCATAGTGGCCTATGAACTTAAAAAAATGCTGTCGTTTAACTATTTCGAACGATATAAAGTTATGGGTACCTATTTCTATGAATGAGAGAAAAATTAGGTTTTTCATCTTTGTATCGAAGTGTGCCTTGATTTTGTGTTGACCTAGTTGTCTAATTATTTTTTATCGCAATTTAATATTCTATATTATTATTTATCTGCATAATTAAAGACTTTTGAAAAGGTAAATTAACATTCTATGTTAGTTTTAGTAATTACAATTGAAATCGATACAATAAACAAAGAACAAAGCTAAAAAACGTATTTTTTGAGTGACAAATATAGTTTTCTAAAAAAACTCATCTAAGATGTCCAAACTGAGCACCTCCTCGTTGACTACATAATAATCATCTTTTGCGCACAGAGTTACAGCCATAATATTAGGCGAACTGGTGTAATAAGTCCAAAAGCTTGGCCTAGTAGCCTTCTGAAATTCTTATCTCGTCCAATGGTTCTTCCCTTATATATAAGGTCTTTTAATTTCCCCCATAAAAAAGTCGAAAGAAGTTAGAAGTTAAATCACAAGACCTAGCAGACCAAGATATGGGGTTCCTTGTTCCAATCCGATTCTCTCTAAATTCTCCATTTAATGGCGTTTTAATTGTAATTGGCAAACCTAATATAGAATGTAGATTTATCTTTTCAAAAGTCTTTAATTTTGCAGATAAATAATAATATAGAATATTAAATTGCGATGAAAAAAAATTAGGCAACTAGATCAACACAAAATCAAGGCCCGCTTCGATGCAAAGATAATAAACTCTAATATTTATCTCATTCTTAGAAATAAATACCCATAACTGTATATCGTTGGAAAAGGTTAAACATCAGCATTTTTTTAAGTTCAGAGGCAACCATGATTTCCATTTAAATAATTATATTTTTTTATTATTTCTGACAAAAAGAGCAAGCATAGAAAAAAATTCATTACGCCACTGGATTGTGCTTAAAAAAGTGCCTTGAGAACGTCTTTACAGAATTTTATTATTCCGCGAAATAACAAAGTTATGGGCAAATTTCAAAATGGTAAAAAATTGAAAAAGACGTATCTCAGTTGGCAGTGAAAATATCAACAGGCGGTTTATCCCATTAAACGTGCCTCAGAAATTGAGCCCATGACATCTACGTCGGTTTTGCTCTATATAGTCAAGAAATAGGGTTTCTCTGATAAAACAGTTCAAAAACAATTTCTTCGTACACAAACCAATGTTGTGAGGGATTCCCTCATAGCGCGTGTAACGGAGTGTTAATATCGCATTAAAGAGTAGACACAGTAATGATTCATTCGAACGTTTGACAACAATCGAGTTCCACTGGAATGGAGTAGTACATACGAGAACATTCGAAACCTTCTCTATGCACCTAATGATCTATGTATTATTCGAGAACTCTTTAGCTGTGGGTATATAAACCGACGGTTGGGACCTGAAGAGGACAGCAATAAATAGACGAGTACAGCTTCCGCGCTAAATTCAAAATAAATTCTTTCTAGATAAATAGTGTGTAAATAGTTCTTTAAGTCTTTTAATCGTTATTGTTTGGTACTTAGTGTAAATAAATTGTGACTTTCTATCAACACGGAACCGACGAAAAACCTAACAATATTGTTTATTTATTTATATATAATCAATTAGGAATATTCTTAATAAATTTCAGATACCAAACCCTAAATTTTCCTCCGTTCTCAATTCAAGATGATTTAAAATTATAATTATTATACCCATGCCATTTTGAAGAAATTTACCACTTAATTTACCGTTTCACAAAGCGCGAATACATAAAGGCACATTATAATGTTAAAAAAGGCACATTAAATGCAAATACGTTTTTATTAAAAAAACACAATAGGGAGTTAGTTACGTTCCTGTTTATTTCCTACACAGATTATTTTGTGCATGGTCAGTCGAGTTTTTTATTTTTCCGCAAAAACATGTTCAAAGGTAAAATCCGGCGAATTGTTCAGGTAAAATAACAGAGCTTTCGGAGCCGATGCCTCTATTTTAAAGCGTGTTATTTCAACAATTGTGCACTTTTACCGAGAATTTAGTTGGGAATTTATCGCGATAAGCCGCACACATGTTTAGAAAATGCAGTATTCTAAATGGCCTGGCTCGCTTAACTATTTTAATTTCGCTAATTTTCATTCAGGTAAAATTGTTCGTTTACGATAACATAATATACTGGGTGGCGCATGACCGTTGGGAACAGGAAATCTCATGCAAATTTTCAAAACCAAATATTGGCTCCTTTATTAATTTTAGAGCTAACTCGCAAATATGGTTTTTAAAGGTCTACGTATGTGCTCAATACACATGCCAAATTTGAACAATTTTGTACAAACGATTTTAAACAATTTAAGAAAAACTGCATTTATTTTTAAATTAAAGCTGAACAGGTAACAATGCAAAACGAGGCAAATGTCAATATACCTTAAGTAGTCAACCTATGATTTTATCATTGTCAAATGTAATTGGCTGTGCTATCTACACTACTACCTTATAGTACCTATGGTTAGTGTCTCCGAAGTGCATTTTTATAATTTAAAACTTGTTCGAACGAGGTAAAAGCACAACGAAAAGAAAATACAATTTGACATTCACAAAATCATAGGTTGACAATTTAAGGTATGTTGGCATTTGCCTGATTTTACATTGTTACCTGTTCAGTTTTAATTTAAAATAGATACAGCTTTTCTTAAATTAAAAATTAATTTATTGTGT